GCATCACCACCACCAAACAACACTGTATCTTAGAGCTATTTCATATTGACACATACCGCACTGTAATCCTTAGACAGATGTACCATGATGGATGGATTGAACTCACCCCCTATTGTTGGTGTATAGGTCGCTTCTAGCATTTTTCTGTTTCATATAGTAACATGATACACACTGTTGGACATGCGTACCTTTTTGATATATGCATGTGAGTATAGCTGTAGCTTGACTTTCTAGTATTGGAATTACTAGGTTGCTCTTTTGTGCATTTTGTTTTGATTAATATTGATCTTAATATTGCCAAATTACCCTCTTACAAGAGATACAGACCTGGCTTTCTCAGGGAGACTTGGAGAGTCCCCCAGCCCTAGCCATGCTGTGGTAGCCGATGTCTTGTATCTAATGAAGCAACACATTAAAGCCTTATATAATGATCCACTAAACAACAGTGTACCTTCAGCAAAGCAAGTGTCTTCACAATGTTGTTAAAGTAAGAGGTTACCAGTAACACCATTGTCCTCCTCCAGAACCACTGATGAAGAGTTCTCAGAAGTCTGCAGAATTTGCAGGATGAATTTGGGCAAATGAGCTTAATCACCAGTAGCTAGCAAAACATATCTAGGAATCACCAATTGTTGGACCCAAAGAAGTCTTATAGTGGGAACTGGAGACATTAGTTGGAAGGATGGAAGCAAAAGCCAATCAAATAACGAAAGTTTGAAAATATTAAGCCCAGATGGAGAAACAGAAGATAGACAAGCAGAGGAAGGAATTGTTGTTGTTAAGTGCCTGCCGTTGAGTTGATTCTGACACATTGTGTCTGTGTAGGAGGAGCAGCTGGTGAGCTTGAACTGCTGACCTCTCAGCTCAATGGCTTTGTAGTCTGGCGCGTTAACCCACAGCGCCACACCAGGACTCCACATCCTTGAAAAGTTTTGCTTTTAAATCTTCCCCTGGCCTGAAGCACCTATGTCCCTTTTCCAGTGCAGCCATTTAACGTCCTTTATGAAATCCTTTATAGAGTTGCTGTAAGCTAGAACCCACTCAATAATACTTAACACAACAATA